CGGACAATGCAATAGTCATCGAGGCTGCGGGCAGTGCGAAACCGGTCGGGGTTCCGGACGCGATAGACTTGATAGATGCAACACCGGACGATGTTCTGGGAACCACCGCCACGGAACGCAAGGTATCAGAGACGCCGGACACAATGCCCGTCGAGAGCACGACCGCCACAGTAGTAGCGAACGCATCGCTTGTCGGGATGGCCACTACCGCAAGCGCGTCTACACCTGCTATCACAGAGCGAACGGCTTCTCCAGAAATGATGTCCTCCCCATCAAAACAAACGAGTCCTGCGCTCTCCTCCAAGGCTTCACCGCGACGCGCGTTTCGCATGGGGACCAAGGGCAAGAGGGGCCGACCTCCAGGACTGCGCCTGCTGCCGGCTATACCGCCTGAGGACGAAGCTCACTCAGACATAACGTCAGTAAAGGACGGCAGCCCCAACAAGCATCTAGCCGTTCTTGAACGCCAGCCTGTCGATGACGAAGTCCAATCCGTAAACAAGCCTGAGATTGCATCGGCAGCGACGCAAGAGAGCGTCTCGCCTTCGGACAGCAAGTTCACTGATGCCGTGGTGGTGGAATCTGAACCTACACCAGCCCAACCACGCGAAGTCGTATCTGTGATCCCGTCTGGTGTAGAGATAACGCATGTCGATTCTGCGAAGGATGGAGATGCGAGCGCTCCATCCGCCCCAGTGGTCCACAGGTCGCCTCCGAAGACCCAGAGCTCGGTTCCTGCAGCAACGATCGCGGCGGAACCTGCTCCGCAACAGGATCTCTTACCTCATGTACAAATAGCCGATTTTCCAGTAGGCCAAGCCGATGCTGCGAGTGCTGCAACCGCAGAGCCTGTCCAAGAAATGTCTCCTACAGACGTCCACATGCATGACACTGAGCTTGGTGGTAGCACTTCTCATACGGTGACAGATCAGACTGAGTCGCTCTCCCGCAAGCGATCATTATCGGCCGCGCATCTCAGCATCAGCCCGCCCAAGCAGCGATTACGGACGGAGACTTCGGCCCCACAATCCGGTGCCGCCGAACCCATCCTGCTGAGATTGCCGCAATCCATCACAACTGCTCCTTCGATGTCTTCGAGCGTGTCCTCCATGTCGAACATGGACCTCGAGACTCCCGCGCCCTCGCCCAGTAAACAAAATGCCGACCCCATCGCAACGCTGAGGTCGTTCCCAGCATTGCCCCCGCCCCTCTCCAGGACGTCGTCATCCTCGGCCATGGACCTTGAGAGCCGGGATTCTTCGCCCAAGAAGCCAAACGCTGTTAAGATAATCGGCTTTCCGCCTGCGCCAGCAACCGTTGATCAACCACGGCTTCTCGCAGAAACTAGTGATGCTGCTGGCGTTGCATCGATTGAGCGGAAGGCGGCATCCCCTGCACCCCTCCCTGCGATGGCGGAGGCGGAGGCGGAGGAGGATGTCAACATGCATACTCGTCGCCTGACTCCGATGGAGATGGAGGTTGGCAGACTTGATCAATTGGTCCAGTCACATCAATCTCCAGTCATACAAACTGGGCCTCAGTCTCCCCGGGAGGCGGGTACTCAAAGGATTGTCACGGCAAGTGATGCTTCGTCTATCCAACCCCAACCTCCGGCTTCGGGTCCCGGTGACACGGAAACCATTGAGCATCAGAACGTCGCTCTTACTGCGCCTGCCATGACTTTCAAACATACTGGTGAAAAGCAAAAGGGTGATTCGATCCGGAAATCCGAGCAAATGAGTGGTATCGTGGCGAGTGACATAGAGGATGGAGAAGTGCTGCAACCAAGCACATCACAATTTCATGAGGCGTCTAACACGAGGAACACGTCCGCTACCGCGGAGCTCGGCATTGGCGCTTCAACGATCAACGGTGAGACCCGAGTTATAGAAGTGATGCCATCCTCTGCAGGCGGCTCCCTCTTCGGTCCGACCTTCATCATCAAGATTTGTGAACGGGGAATGCCAGACGCTTCCAGTCGAGAAGTCAAGTTCGAATTGTCCCGTGAGGATCTTGCATCGCTGCGGCGGTGGACAAAGCGCGATGTGGCCAATGAGTGAGTACTCCGTGATATTCATTGACGGTTCCGCCTCAAAGAAGACCGCAGGGACCTTTCGACATCAAAATGCCTCAGCCTTGCGTGCTACTCGTTCTCCGACGTTGTCTCCGAGCTTCGCGCCAACCCTGGCCTGGATGATTTCTCCCCGCTTCTCAAAAGATCGTCGCCGGTTGCCTGGCCCAGGGACTATCGCCTGTGGATAGTGGTAAATGACCAGCCGAGCATGTACATCTCCCCTCCCTTTCTGGTGAGTAGCTGCATGAATCAGTCACAGTAACGTTAATGAGTATGATAATACAGACTTACCCCGATAATTTGGTGGATTTGAGCGAAATCGCTGTGTTGGGGCTGAACAGCGTGCGCTTCATCCAGAAAGGCGACTATTCCCAATGTGTCTTCGTAATCGCCCTGCACCACCCAACCGTGCACCAACTGGAGGACGTGCACGCACAGCGTCAGACCACCGTTGCATGGGAAAACACGTTGAAGAAGATATCTAGTTTCGAGAGATTGAAATTGCTGCAAACTGTTTCTTAATGTCGTGTAACATTGCACTCTGTCGCAGCTCGCTTTCGTCTATGCTTTCTCGATCTTTCCTACTGTTGTTCTAACGAGCTATCGAGTGTTCCTATACGCATGTTATCTCTCTCATACCGATATACTGCAGACGCATACATATAGATGATGAAAATTACAGATAGATTATGTCCCCGAAATATGAACAGTATGATTTCGACCACTCATGTGCCGGCGTCTTCTGCCATTGCGCGGAACATGTTAAGTGCGGTATGCACGTTGTCAGGGTTTCCGGCGCACGGAAATCACGCTGCATTAGTATCCCGCAGTTAGGATGCTTCTCTCGAACTTCCACTGCCCGTTACACCGAGCTTCGACACCATTTCGAAATTCAGCCAAATACGTATTTCTGACAGTTGCACACAGACTCCGTTGGAGTAACCGCATGAGGATATGTAGTGTTGATGGAATCGAAGGTGTCAATACCACAGGACTGAGTTCATCACCACACAGCCAACCGGCACGACTCTGCGCGAATACCTGAAGACAGCGCTCCGCGGCGGATGCGAGTGCTAAAGCACAGTGGCTGCGCGGAATCAAGAGAATACAACGCGGTCTGCACACCTCGCGGCATAGTCTAGCTCAATCGGATAGCTATATATGGGGAAGTGGCAGGCAGTATGCTTTTCGTCGCTCGAGACCCGTCAATACCTCCTATCATGTCGACCGACCTCGCTCAATCAGGGAACGAACAGCCCATCGTTATTGCGTGAGTTCGCAAACTGAAAGATATATCCATGATTGCATGATCTGATACATTTGCGACTAGGATCATGGGGCCGACGGGCTCGGGGAAAACGACAGTAGGCTCCACCAACACTTGATCTCGTATGGCATGAGTTGATTTACGCGTTTAGTTCGTCAATACAGCCAGCGAGTCGGAGCTGGAGATCGGACACAACCTTACATCTTGCACGGAATACGTGCAGATGTCGCAAGTCATCACCTTCAAAGGGCGAAAGGTTACGCTGGTTGACACACCAGGTTTCGACGACACGAATAAATCGGATACCGATATTCTGAGGAACATCGCACTCTGGCTGGCTACGACGTAAGTCACGTTGGCTATCTGTGTAGCTAGGCAAGGTGGTGTCAAGGGAACTCATCGAAGATCTCCTAGGTACGAGGCTGGCCTGAAGCTCAGCGGTGTCATCTACATGCATCGCATCATGGATGTGCGCGTTAACGGTGTCACGAGGCGCAACTTCAAGTTGTTCCGCGACCTCTGCGGCGAGACGGCGCTCGTGAACGTCGTTATCGTGACAACTAGGTGGGACGTAGTCACGCCGGAGGAAGGAGAGCGGCGAGAGCGCGAGTTGGCGACGGGCGACCAGTTTTTCAAGCCCGCACTCGACAAAGGTGCGCGTATGGTGCGCTACGAAGGCACACGTGCGTCGGCGCATGCCGTGCTCGACCTTCTGCTCAACGCGCGCCCGCAGCCGCTGAAAATCCAGAAAGAGCTGGTTGATGAGCAGAAAAGTCTAGATGAGACGGCTGCAGCTGCATCACTCGGGAAGGAGCTCGCGGAGCAGAATGCGCGGCTTCGCGTGGAAATCGCAGCGCTCCGAGAGGAAATGGAGGCTGCGCGAGTTACGCGGGATCGAGAGACGGAGGCAGAGCTAGCGCAAGTACGTGCGGAGCTTGTGGACACAGTGAGGCGGTCGATGAAGGAGACTGCGGAGCTGAGGGAGCGGTATGCACGTGACAAGCAGAGAACAGACGAAGAGATGGCAAAGATGAAGGAATTAATCGAGGCCCAGCACGCTGCACGGGACGAAAGGGAGGCGCAGGTCACCCGTCTGGAGGCCCGCTTGGACGAGGCGGCGAAGGAAGCCAACGCAGAGCGAGAGAAGGCGAAGAAGTATGTTGAGCTCTGCACGCAGAGCCTGCCCAAGCAGCCGAGCCCATTCCTCCTTGCGCTTGAGACCCTGGCAAACCTGACGACGCTCTGCCGGTACTCGATGGCAATGGGAGGCCACGAGTCAATCTCGTCGCTGATATCCGCAGCCTCGAAGGCGACGAATCCGGTCTCGTCATCTGGATTCACTGGCGTGCCTTCCAACGGCACACTGCCCATCCTCTCTGGAGTTAGCAAGGCATTCGCCGCTGGCCTCAAAGAAGCTTCGTTTTAGTATCTTCCTCGGTTCGCAAGTTTGGACTCGGTAGTGTTTCTTGTCATTGTAGCAATCGTGTTTTCTGTCCTTGTACATGTATGGGAGAAAGGCGGTCAGCTGATGCACCCAGCTATATGGTCCTCGTGCCGGAACGATGTGGTGAAAGGCTTTGTCCCCAGAGAGAGGGAAAGTAAGTATCTCGACGGCTGCTAGATCAGAGAAGGAAAAAGGACGACGACAGTCTGCGTGACTGGCTCCGCCCGGGATCGAACCGGGAACCTTCAGCGTGTGAAGCAGACGTCATAACCATTAGACCACGGAACCACTCAAAGTAACGACGTAATGGTCATATATATCAGTTATGTATTTCAAGGCAAGACCGCTAGATCGAACCGGAGTCGTTGCATTACAGTACTACCAGTCCTCGTTTCTTCCGCCACACACCGTCCGAGGCTCGCCATGGCTTCGTATCTGCGTAGCTGGCTCTCATCCCAGACTCAACCCTCGTCTCCTGTATCAAATCCTGCTGAGGACGCTCCTGTTATTAACACCGAAGATGCTGACGACGACGCCGACACTGTGCATGGCGGCTATGACGGGCCATCTGACGATTCCCCGCCCGCTTTCCCTAGCCTGATCAGTGCACAACGTGCCGGCTCCAGCAACCCCTCGTCCGACCTTCCACGCGTACTAACAGATGCTCAACTGATGCCCCCACCGCCTGTACCATCGCGCTCTGGTCGTACCCTCGGTGTGCCTACGCCAAGTGCTGCAAGCGGGGGATCGCTTGCAGTGCCACCAAGTACGAACAAGCCTCCCGCTAGTGCGAAGCGTCTCAAGGTTGCACTTGCGCCGGGGCATGGTCCACTGGACTGGGCAAATCTTAAGCGATCGGGACAGGACCTGAGGGTGAGTCACTTCGCTGCGCGAAGGTGTGTGCGCTGATGCGTAGCCGGATCTGGACGCAGGGCGTCGATACGCTGCTGCGGGTGACACCTTCGATGCTTAAGGAGCATCGCACGCGTGATGATGCCTGGTCTGCGTTCAGTGGAAAAGTGTACAATATTACACCGTACCTACCATATCATCCCGGTGGTGAGAAGGAGCTCATGCGCGTCGCAGGGCGTGATGGGAGCAAGTTGTTTGGTGAGTGGATCGTAGTTTTGTGGATAGGCGGGTCATTCTTATGCTTCGTCTGTAGCGTCGACTCACGCGTGGGTGAATCTCGATTACATGCTCGATGCCTGTCTTATTGGCTTCCTCGTCCCGGAATGACACTCATGAACTCTGTCTTCGCAATATCGGCTGCTTGTCATGCTATTGATATAGACCAAAGAATCTGATACCACGTCTCCACTAGAGTCCTAGACTCATCTTCCCGACCATCCGACACCCATCGCACGTCCCGTTACAAGTGCATGTAGAATATAACTTATTTTCCGCAACGCAAACACACTGTGTCTCCTGGATCCAACCGCGCTGGATTATAATCAAATCAAATGTTGGTGCGTCGGAACAGGTGCGTACCATGCCCCAGGATGCCCAAACACGATTACGCAAACTGCCCAATATCGCCGACCCCTGCCAACGCATTTCCCAGATTGAGCTCCAATCGCCTACGGTAGCGCTGCACGGTCGACGCATACTCGTCGCCAACGCAAAAGCCGTTGTCGAGGATATATGCCTCCAGCTCCCGGATAAAGTTCTCGAGGATGAGCACGCGCAGGGCTGCGGCCTGGGACTGTTCGGCGCCCCTCACATGCGCGAGGACGCAGTCAGCGTGGACAGCCCACTAAGGACTGCTGTGATAGCCGAGGATTGGCCACGTAGGTTATCTGAGTACTGCAAGGGACAGAGAATTAGTCATCCCTCGTCCAGTGGTTGCCGCAGCTACACCGGTTGTGATGGCACTAATCAATTGTAATGTGATCCCTATACCGATTGCCCAGCGGGCCGTCCTTTCTGATGCAGCAAACATCCCGGAGTCGGAAGGTCGTCACGGCAGTGTTAGCGCACTCTCACCGCTCTTTCGGATGTCTTTCAACTCTTTTCTTGCAGTCTCCAGCGTAGGGCAAAGGTATTCTCCTACGCTCCCCTCGCGAAAACCATCAAATAAAACTCTCAATAAGAGACAACAAAGCATGATCCAGATACGTACGGCAGCTCGTGCGGGCTATCAAACGTCATCCACGATAATTACAACGAGGGTAGAATGGTCTGCGCATATGATGAGGGGAGATAGAATGGCAGCAGTTCAGGCTTAGTCCCGTCTTGGATAACTGATGTCTCGTGAAATGTTATGAAAACGCCAGGCTTATCGGTAGCGGCGAGCGCGAAATTGGTGCCGTGTCGCCTCCAAAGTAGATAGTTATATAGTACAATACTTGTGTAGGATCTGAATGCTGCGCCGAACAAAATTGCGCTGTAGAGGAGATCAACAGATTGAGGAAGCTCTCAGTAAGGCTTCTTCTCCCTTCGGAGTACACTTTTCATCCCTGCAGTCATCGTCGTCCTCGTCGGTCCCGAATCCAACATATCCTAGCTCTCGCCCAGCCATCTTGAAGTTGACTTCCAGAAGCGCGGGCACATGTTCATGGAGCAGGTTCGCAAATTGCTCTCTACCCGATTCCTCTGCCCATTGCTCGGCCAGTGGACCAGGGACGGGAGAGGCTTCCGGTGTACTTGTCGTGCCGACGTCAAGCAGTGGTGTACCCACCCAATATACCTGTATTGAAATGCCCTTGATTTCTGGGAAAAGTGACGCCAAGGCGCAGATGATATCCTATGCCATAGAGCGACAGGTTTAGAAATATATGATACGTGCAAGACTCGACTTACAATCGAATGTTCCTGGGTACCTGTTATTTTCGAAAGGAACACCTCCAAAAACAGGTATTCTAAGGGAGCGCAGCGTTCCGTGACCTCACGTACTTGCTGTATCCAGTCAATGACCGACGTCTCCGTCTTGAATTGTAGCTCCAAACAGAGGTAGTCCGGACAGACAGGTGTGAGAAAGTGCAGAAACCATTCCATGTAGTCCTTTTCTGTATCCGATTTCTCGGAGAGATCGACGGAGAGATACTTTGGCTTGTGCTTCAATCCGATAAACGGGAGGCTGTATCTGTTGGTTACAACGCTTTTCAAAGCCTTGCAGCAGTCGTCTTCGGTATGCATGGCAACAGCCTCATCACTGATCTCCATCAGGGAGGCTTTGTCGCATCCTTCTTGAGGCCGCAGTTGCGGGTGTATGATGTAACGCACGATTTCTATCGCTGGAATGTGGCGGAAGTAGGAGGCAAAAAAGAGGCGGGTAGTGTTTATGATAGAAAATACGCGTAATGCAGGAAGAGGCATGGCAGGGAAGTCGAAGTCGACTAGGGTTACAAAGCCCTCCTGCAGAAAGAGTCGTTCCAAAGTGGAGGAGCACCACGTGAGATCTAAGTCGACTGCAATCGTCTTTGCTGCATATGGTGGTCGCTCGCCACAGACAACAGCCTTATCCGCGCGTATCGGCTGCAAAGAGAGGTGAAACATTGGAGATCGAAGCTTGTGAAGGGCGTCGATGTCCCATGGTGTGGCTTTCGATAGCGTCAGATAACGGAGCGAAGAGAGCTGGGCACAGTCCTCGGCGAGAACGCCCTTGGAGCCAAATGCCTCGAACGAAGGTAATTCGATGGTGTGAAGATTGCATTCTCTGGCGGCATGCTTGAGAACCTCTCGAGCGAGGGCCGTGGTCTCTGCTGGGTCATCACGGATGCTAAGTTCTAAGTGTCGTATCCAAGCCAGTCGTGATGGGTAATTGACCATCAGCTCGGGGCGCTGGTTGTGAATGTTCGAGTCGTCGATGTGAACGTTCATGTAGGTGTAGAAATCTCTCCCGTGTGTATAGAGAGTGTGGCAAGTAAGCAGCAGTGAAAGAACGTCTTTCTTGGACGGCAGGTGATGCATGACCTGCAGCAGACAATCGAAGTTGAGCGCCATCGGAACCTGTTGCCGAGTGTGGTGGGACAATGATAGAGATAGAGGGATTGATATGGGCACACCGTACCGATATTCGATGCTTTATAGCTGAGTAGAGGTCTTGCATGGCCCCGCGGTCGAAAGCATTCCAGGTACTTGCTAGAGCCGTGCAACTCAACAGGTATTGTGGCAAGTAGCACACCATAGCAACTGAGAAATAATATAAGCACAATATTTGTCTTGAGTCGCATACAGAAGGAACCCAACGAAAAACAATACTGCATTGTTCTGGTGACGCAGGTTCACATCGTCGCCAATTGTCGAGCTCTCGAGCACGTGCCAGACTGCCAGTGCTGGCTGGTGTTCGGGCCGGGGTCTTTGCTTGCCCGGCCCTGCCGAAGAAGGCGCGGGCTCCCGCAGCTGTTGACGTTGAACGCAGCAACCGTTTGGCAGCAGGTTTAGGCCGGCAATATACTGAGAATTTTGCATATGCATGTCTGTAAATATGCAGCCTCTCCATGGGCCCCGACGCATAAAATCGCCATCAGGAATATGCCATCGGATCGAGTAGTGGTGAACCAAGTGCTCCAGCTACCCTACCGTACGAGCATGAGGGCATGAGAGTATCGCCTGATACGGTGTACTACCTCTTTGCCTAGACATTCATCGACATCTACACGCGTCCAAGTGCCGGACGGAACAAGGGCGTCCACGGACGAACTACTACACTTCTCGAGCCTCAAGGTGCGCAATTGTCTTCACCAGTACACTCAAGTCATTCGTGTTCTCTAGTTCAGGAGCTGAAATATCTTTACGCGGATCATCTTCGACTTCACGTTCTTGACGATTACTCAGGTCTCTTTCCCTTGTCTGCCCCAGAAGCCATACACGTGCTCACTAGTCCGTCTAGACGTGTATCCTGCAGTGTACTAGCAGCGGGAATACGATTCCATTGAGGCAGTGAACACGAGTTTCATACATGCATGCTTCTTGAGAGAAGGAGAGACTTTGACACCACCTCGCCTGAGCCTCGTGCGGATACTCATTTCTTCGTAATGAGTCACGTTCAAAGAAGCAGTCCTACACAACCCTCAACGTAACACGTGTATCGATTCTGGAACGGCACCTTCTCTACTTATCGCTATACATTGCATGACATCTCCCCGATGCATCTGCGGCGATCGATATTCTTGGCAAGCCCCGTTTCAGGAATAGTTACATGGCACCAATTCCATCGAAACGTGCGTGCTGCGTAGTATATCTTGCATGTGGGTACACAGTATCACCACAGATCTGATGCTGTGGAGATTCACGGCCGTCAATCTATATAAGCTACTGGGGTGTTCGAAACCTTCAGACCCGTT